ATGGAGTACACATCTCTGACAAAAGTAAACAAAAAAGTGATATAAATGGACTATTTTTTAGTGGAAAAAAACATATATCTGTGTATACAAAATAGCATATATATACAGCTACTTTCTCTTAGTTCAATGAGAAGGTTTTGAACTAATAGTGTTTAGACAAGATATCATGTCTGCATCTTGTACTAGGAATAACTACTTACAAAGACAAAAATATACAATGTATTAATTATTGTACTGTACTACTAACCTGTTTTGAAACTATCTCATTGCTACTTCTTTCCCAATAAAATTAAAATAAAAAATAAGAAAAAAATATATGCGAAGCTAATACGGCTGTAGTTTCAGAATATAATTAACTCATTAATTACGAAGCATATGATAATTTTACATTGTGCCTTAACTTTGTACTCTAGAAGACATGAAAGTTTCCTCAAATTTGAAAGATCTGTGATATTTTCATTTGTGATTGTATTTTCTGTTTAAAATGTTTCATTTCACATATGCATAATAAGGCTTGTACTCCCTAGACTACAAATGGAGCTTTTTTTACATTTAATGAAAAATTTGTTTTTACATTTTCTGTGTCAATTTAGAGGCATATTTACTCATTCCATGAACATTAGTGAAAGAAACAAGAAAAGTAGATTTTCACATTTAATAGCTTCAATTTTATCCTGAAGATGTTTAATGTATAATATTTGAGTTAATGCTTCCTTTTCCATTTCCTCTGTAAAATCTTAAGATCTTTACTTTGGCAAGTACAAATCCCAAAGGTCTATGGTATTGGAGTTTTCAAAGATTGTATTTTAATGAGACCACACTGCATTTTTTTGAATTTTTTATTTTAATGAGAAAAAAGATAAAATAGCAATGAAACAGTTTCAAAACAGTTTAGTAGGACAATTGCAATGATTAATACATTGCATATTGTTGTCTTCATAGTAGTTATTCAGAGGACAAGATGCAGACATGATATCTTGTCTAAACTATATTTTTGGTAACAGGATTCAAAGTTTTGAGTGTTTTTCATTATAAAATGCTTCGTATCTTTTAAATTTTTTTTATGCACTTAGTACAGGGTCTCACTACATAGATCAGATTCATAGTCATAGGGATTCTCTTCTTTTCAGCCTCCCAAGTGCAGGGATTACAGGCGTGAGCCACCACGCCCAGTCTCAATAGCCATCTCAACGCACCCCATGAGCGGGTCTGGCAGGGCATGCTGCGGATCCAACCCTGGCCACTTCACTCTGCCTAAGTAGGTGCTTTAGTCCACTGAATCTGGCAGGCCCACAAATGGTTCATATCAAGCATTCATAAATTTAGGAAGTTAACATTTTCTAAGAGCAGCTCACAGAAAAAAAGCCCAAGTCTAACAAAGGAGGAGGGAGGGGACATCCTGGCCATTGCTATTGATGTCTCCAAGTGGACTGGATTTCCCAGGGCTCGGCTCACAGTGCTCTGACCTGCTGGAAAATCTGGAGGTTAAAGTACCATAGTTGTACACCAGGTTGAATCCAAGAATCCCTGTATCTGGGCTCCTGTTTAATTTTCAGCCTCTTCTTTCCTATGATGAACTTCGGCCTTTCCATATACCCATCCTCTCAGCTGAGTCTTCTCAAAACTGTGTCCATGTTTCTGTAGAGTGCATGCTCCATGTCCCCAAGTCAAATGATTTGTGCCCTCCTACATACATCTCCATGAGATGCTTCTTCTGTGGAAGGAGCCTATACCAGCCCAGACTGAACACAGGCTGTCTGAGGATGGGGGCATCCATCCACCACATGTGTTGTCCCAGAGAAATGAAGCACCAGAGAGTTGCGAAACATAAAGGACAATACAGTAACTATTCATTCATTTAGTTATTGGTTTGTTGTTCTAAATTTGTTACTCTAAAATATCCAGGAATCATTTTGTCCATCTTTTTTACTAAACAATCAGTTCCCCTTTCAGGCCACCCTAGCTCCAACCAGGATGATGGTCTCATGCATCACCCAAGACTATGAGTTTATTCTCATGATGTAATGTATATATACTGATAACTTGATCTACACATCACTGCAAATAGGCTAGAATCAGATGTCACACTAATATTCTATAATGTTCATATAAACACATCTGATAGCTTATCACAATGCATAATTTCTACTAGGTAAAACATTCATGCATTGGACTAAAAGTGCTCCTGTCTGCACTTTGTATTATTTTTATAATTGTTTATTTATTTATCTTTTTATTTATTTGATACAGGGTCTTGCTGTGCAGTTCAGACTCATAGTGATCCTCCTGTCTCAGCCTCCCTAGTTCTGGGATTACATGTGTGTACCATCACGCACACCCAGAACCAGGTTCTGGGGCTGGCATGGCATGTGGTACTGGGGATAAAACTCAGGTCCTTGTGCTTTCTAGGCATGCACTTTGGCCACGGAGCAATCTCCCCAGTCCTGCACCTTGCATTTTGACATATATAATTTTCCTCAGAAGTTTCCCTATTTTTGTTGTTCAATGTTATTCACTTTTCAGTAGAACACTATAAAATATTTATGTAGCTGTTTAAGTAGTTTTCATTGTATTTTCTTTCTCCCCTTGAGTAAAATCTCTAGAGATTTTAACACTTTTTTCGAAAAGAAAAGCCAAGAGAATCCCAGAAAACTTTCTCATCAGCATGAAGAGAAGATAATAAAATCATTTCCCTGGAATGATGCTTCCACACATTGTGCTGCATATTTTAGCTCTGCCATGTTTATTCAGTCCAGTACACATTGTTCCAGATTGATCTGAGATGAGAAGAAAAACAACGGCGGCCGGTTTCTTCTGCTTGTCTTTCTTCTCCCTGTTATTTCTGGCCCTCACTCTCAGGCAAGGTACTTGGCTCGTGATGCTGGACTGTTGTGTGTAATGCCTGTGGCAGAATTGGTAGGTTGGAAAGCGAGCCTCTTGGACGGAGGTTTGCTAGCTTCAGCTATGGCTCTTGTCTGTTAGACCATAACTACATACGACATCAGGGTAGATTCTGATGTCCTGAGGTCCAATTCAGCCCTCCGTTGGTTTTCTTCTTAGAGGAATTTTCACTTATCAGAAGTGATTTCATCAATTTCTGTTGTCTCCAGAAGCTGCGCTGACTGCTGCGCTTCTCTGAAGCTTTTGGGTCGCTCTCATATTTTTGTCATCAGGCCCAAGCCTCTTGCTTCCCTGCCTGTGAACCTGTCATTACTGTTCCCTACAAGGTTACTCTTCTTGGACATAAAAAAGAACATAAGCCTCCTGTCGCAAGACAGAGGCGATGTCACAGGAGGTTACCTTGTTGTCATCCATCTGGTACCACTGTCCATCTCCAGCTTTGATGTAACAAAAGTAGTGTCCGCTGTGACAGGACAGCCCAGCGTGGACCAGCACAGCATAAAGGGTGTATACAAGAGCGCCCTGGCTCTGCACAGACACGTACGGCTGCATGTCAAGCCACTGAGGATACTGCACACGCTTAGAAAGCTTCTTTCCAGTGAAGTCTAAGAACCTTTTTAATACAAACATGAGGACTTTTGAGGTTCTATGGAAAGACAGTGTCTTGGTAGCAGGCACATTTTTTCGACAAATACTACAGTTATAGGCATTTTCCCCAACCAGTTCTTCAGGCTCCACCAATTGTGTCAAAGCTTGTTGCACACTCTGAGCTGTTTTGATATCCAGAGTAATGTCCAGATAAGGATCAAACGTTTCAGAAATCCCTCCACAGTGGAGACACTTGATTTGAGATCTCCAGTGTCCCTGAAATATTTGATGCATTAGGTCTCTGCCCTCAGAGTCAAGATCACACTGTTTGGACTCATGTGGAGAGGACTTGTGCATGGCATTCACAATGAACATGAGAAATTCATGAGCATCTTCCTGTTTCTGTCTATGGAAACCAACAATAAATGTATCTGAAGGCTGGAAAACCCAGCCAGGGTGATGGAGAGCCCAATTAATGTGATTGCGCATAGAGCACAGCATGCAAAATCTCATGCCAAGACAGGTTGGTTTGTGCTGCAGGGACAACATATAGTTGGCAAGAGGTGGTGTGTACGTCAGACACTGAAGCATGGCGTTCATGTAGCATGTGTTTCCCACATTCCGGAGACCAGCACCGGCTCTGTAAGGTCTTATCCATCTCAGTTGAATGTTTTGCCTAGCAGGTGCCTTGGCTTCCTCTGGATCCATCTCACTGCACAGCTCTGCATTGTGCAAGTTGACAGCAATGAGCCTGCAGGAAAATAAAAACCACAATAACAATGAGCACCAGCAGCATTTGACAGAGAAGGTTTAACCTGAGAACCCAGTGCTAATTGGAAAGTAGATGAGAGCCCAGACACCTAAGGAAAGTGCAGTCCAAAGTCTTTAATGAATACAGAAGCAAAATGCCTCAAGAAGAAACCGTCAAACTAATGTGACAAATCATCAAAAAGTCACATGTTGTGATCCACTAAGCTTAATCTTAAAGACTAAGAGATGGCTCATAGTATGAAAACAAATAAACAAAATTTACCATGTACGGAAAAACAAGGGCAAAAATCACAGGATTATCTCAACAGATGTAGATAAAGTATTTTATAAAATTCAGCCTGAATTCTTGATTAAAATATAAAACAACCTTGAAGAAAGTGGGTATGAAGAGGCTGGCAAGATAGCTCAGTGGTCTAAAGCACCTGCTTAGGTAAGCTTAGGAAAGCACAGGGATCATGGTTAGACCCCTGGAACATGTCAGGCCAGCCCTGCACCTAGGGCAGGCTGAGCCAGCTACAGAGAGAGAGAGAGAGAGAGAGAGAGAGAGAGAGAGAGAGAGAGAAGA